GGGGGTCGCGGAAAATATCACGCACTTTTTTTCTCATTGAAACAAAAAAAGCAAAAGCACGAAGCATTTTTTTTTACAATAACAATCCAACGCATTTACATAAGAATCTCACGTGAGATTGAAGGATGGGGTTGAATAAAATCTCACGACATCTCACCAGGGGGAGGAGGGGGTAGGGGGGGCAGAAAATTACAAAAAACAACTCACGTAATTTATGGTCGCCCCGTTTTCATAGAGAATGTGATATTATATTCTCTACATTTTCCAACAGATAACTAAATAGCTTAAAAAATATAAAATTAGTATTTCAAACAGTTTTAGAACATTATAAATTAGTGTTTACACAAAAAAAAACCACAATTTATCATAATATTATTTTATTAAGGCAGCATTTAATAAAATTACAAGATTTTTCACATTCACTAAATATTATTAAAAACAAAATGTCTTCTTATTTCATATATTTACACAATCTTACCTTTAATTTTGCTGTACATAAGAAATAACTACACCTATATGCCTACATATCAAAGATAAATGGGATACATCTTACTAATATTATAAACTAGCTGTCGCCCGCGACACCGTACGCGAGGAATTAAAGAAAAACTATTGGTCGCTGCTTAACATTATATAGCCTAAAGCCTTCTATAAATGGACTATCCAACAAAGAATGAATTTTTCAAATCGGACCAGTAGTTCCTGTGATTAGCGCATTTAAACAAACAAACTCTTCCGCTTTATAATATTAGTATAGATGTTTGTTAGAAGGTATCTCCCAAAACGGCTCAATGGATCTCAATGAAATTTGTCATACATATAGAACATAGTCTAGAAGAACACATAGACTACTAATTAAGATTCTTTTTAATTACGCGCGGAATGAATCGTGGGTGTCTGCTAGTAATATTATAAATGCAAAATTTTAGATCAGTCTTTCCCAAAGTGTGCGATAACGCCCCCTTGTGGGCTGCAGGTCTCAAGTTGTGGGTTATAGTAAAACGTTTCCTTTACAATTCTCCGTTAATATACATATATAGGTCACAATAATTAATTAATTTAATTTGAAGTTATAGTGGTTTTTAAATATGTGAAAATATGGGGGCGCTAAAAAAATATTTATTCTCAAAGTGGGTAGTAAACAAAATAAGTATGAGAACCACTGGTTTAGATGGATGGATGTTCATAAGAAAGAGTCTTAAAAACAGCTCAACAGAATTCATTAAAATTTGGCATAAATGTAGAACATAGTCTGGTACAACATATGGACACTTAGATGTTTTCAAATTCCATATGGACTGAATATCATCCTTATAAGAAAAAGGATGGGAAGGGAAAGAGGAACTAACTGTGATTGAGATGTTCAAGTTAGCAGTAATGCGTGTTAAACTGAATAACGTTTATTCTATGTGTGACAGTTCATTTTTCTTTATGTTCAATATGATTTACGAATCTACCCCGGTCCTAATTACTTTGGATAATCTGTGTTTTACTGTATTGTTACTATCCCATTTATTTTCTTTAATATGTACACACAAAAAAGATTTTTTTAAACACATTAATCACAATATCTCATTAATAAGTGACATTTATTGCAATAGTTTTCAGACCCATATTCTCCGTTCACTAACATATTGCTTTTTGATCTTGTTCAATTATAATCTGTAAAGAAGGTAGAATGAAAAATATTAAAAACAAACATAAATCTTACTAATATAAAATACCTATCACCCGCAACTCTCATTTGCGTGGAAAGTAAACATAATTAGTAGCCTATGTGTTCTTCCAGACTATGTTGTATGTATGCCAAATTTCATCGAGATCTTTTGAGACATTCTGGGGATACCTGCTAATAACATCCATCCATTTAAACATTCGCAAATACCAGTAAGAAGTAAGATTGATTGAAATGGATGTCTTGTTGCATGTTATATGCAGAACAGCTGCATAAATCTTGCCGAATAAATGACATAGAACATAGCCTGGAAGAACACATAGGCTACTAACTATAGTAATTTTTAACCATAGTTAAATAATAATGTGAAATACAAAGAGTAACTTTCAGAATCAGATACTAAATGATCATCATCATCATCAACCTGCCCTTATCCCTATTGAGGGTCGGCACAGTGTGTACTCCTCCATACATCTCTATCAGCCGTCATATCAGAGTCTACCCCCTTCTTAAGCATATCCTCTTTCACACAGTCATTCCATACTTTTTTTGGTCTTCCTTTACCCTTGTAGCCATCCACATTCAATCTCATTACTTTTTTGCTTATATCATCATCATCCCTCCTCATAACATGTAATGATGTAACTAAGTGTTTGTTTATTATAAAAATTAGAATAATCAAATCTTCCCAATAGGTTTCTATAGCCAAAAAAGTTTGGGCGCAACTATTTTACCCTAAGGTTGGCATAAACTAAAACTGCTTAACAGGATATCAGTTTAAACAACATATTTATGGTAGTAATCCAAACCAAAGATCTAGGCTGCATATTGCATAACTATATTTTAACTAGCTGTCGACCGCTACTCCATCCACGCGGGATTAAAAATAGATGTTGGCTGATTCTCAGACTTACTCAATATGCTCACAAAATTTCATGAGAATCAATTAAGCCGTTTCAGAGGAGTATGGGAACGGAAATTGTGACACGAGAATTTTATATATAAGATATACAGTTGAATATAGAGTAAGATCCGAGCTTCCAGTAGGAATATACAGTGAACTGATGATGATACAGCTGAATCTAGACTGGGACTGCAGTACCAATCTTCAACAGCGAGAAACTCAGTATAGAGGGAAACCTCTATAAGCAAAATAGTCCATTAAACTATGGTCTAACCAAGTTACAAAGTTTAAAAAAGTTACAAAATCCTTGCTTTTAAAAATTATGACTAAATATAAACAAACCTCAGCATTCCATTGGTGCTATTGAATTTGAATTATCACCGTAACCACTTAAACTTCCTTGAAATTCCATACCACTAATTTGACTATCCGCATTAAATGATGCACCATAAGAATCGTTACTAGGGGCATGAGATGCTTCAAGATTAGCATCTCCGGAGTCCGCTGCCATTCCTGAATCAGGTTCAGCCCAATTAATCTTGAACCGAGTCACGCGAGGCTCGGAAGCGAGTATATTTCTCACTACCTTGTCAAATTGAGGCTTTGCTGGTGGATTTTCTCTTAACTCTGGCTCACTTTCACTGTATTCGTTATTTATAAAGTAACCAACTCTAACGAACTCTTGTCCTCTGTATGAACACGTTAATAACACTACGGTGACACCCAATGCGTCGTTTTCTGGTATCCGGGTGACATCAGGCGGTGGGGCTTGAAAGACAAACATGTGTCTACCCTCCGGTATCGGTCCGACGTAAATTGTATCCAATACTTGATCGTGTTCTTCAGTTTCTGCGGAACCAACGTATATCATCTTCCATTCTAAATCCTCCTTTAGTTCTTCAATGCATTCGAAGGTCAATTCGAATTGGAAAGGATTAAGAAATGGACTCGGATTGTCCAGCACGACGACGTTGGTTATATGCACTTTTGCCATATCGAAATTATTTGTGTAATCGCGAAATTAAAACTAAAAAAGCTTAAAGATTTTGTTCCGTTCGATAATGAATACGTTAAAAACAGTTTAAATTATGTAAATCCAAGATAAAACCGTTTTTAATTGAAGACGAAAGAAGATACGGCGAAAAGTGACAAATATTTTGGCGGTTGAAACGGTCACGTGATCAAAACTTGCGACTACAACGCCACGCTCGGCGGAATAAGGAACTACACTTAAAAAATAAAAATCATGACAACTACATATGATTAAAACTGGTTTTTTCGTAATAACTAAACGGAATTATTATTCATACAACACAAGTCATTGAAACAAATACAGTTTGTTTTGCCAAAGAGGAGTAAAAATGAAAAAACTTACCTGTTAATTAATATTTTCCACTGCTTTTCACAACAACAAACGTCAGACTTATGACATAAAGAATAGAAATGTACATAGACAAAAAAGACAAAAGAACGAACGCATGTCCAGCCAAGTTTCAGGGTAAAACGACTTTAAAATAAAATAAAAACTTAACATAATACAAATGCTTAATTTCGGGATTAAATTATTAAAGTTCTTGTAAAACATCACACCTTTATAAAACAAAGAATAAACAAAAATGTCTGTCATTCTGCGAATGGCGTCGGTCGGTACATCTGTCATGTTGTGTACGTTGTGAATATCCTGTCAAAAACAAATCTTGTTTTGTGCTATGTGATTTATAAGACTGCTAGTAATAAGGATACATATCATTAACAATTGCGTGCATAACTATAGTCATGAAGGTCGACAGTTAAAAGCATATTGCCGTTACGATATACACTTCGAATCAGGTATTTACTTTCCACACAACTATTTAACAAAACAAATCATTTTATTTACATACATGATAAGCTACAATAAACATATCGTATAACTCAATATGAAAGATATGATCGCTAAATTTAAATAATACTTTCTATATATATTTACCGAAGACAGTGTCCATAAAAGGAGTAACATATTTTACGCTTGACTCACCTTACCGTCCAATTTTGTCCTCGTTAAACACTTCGTAATGAATTTCACTTTCACTTGCACGATAGGTATAATTAACTTTGACAATATTTATGTAGAAACAATGAATACAATAAAAGAATGTTTAAAATTAATAATTTTATTTAAAGGTGTACATCTGCTATTCCTTCTGTGTCAATGTAAATGGTCTCATTTGTTTAATTCCAGATTATTCTATATTTTAAGACACAATGACATCAAATCGAGAAGATGGTCCCGTATATTATAGAGAAATACAAAAGAATGCATTCCTTAAAAGGATTCCGAATGATGTTAATATTAGTAAACTAAGACCACTTGGCAATAAGGTACGTAGAAATTATTATGAAATAATATGTTACTATGACTTTCCAACCTCAGCTACAAGACTACTGTACGTCTGCTGGCTGGTAACACATCCTCTGGTATTGCTGATTTCCATAGGCATTGATGAACTCCTTGGTGTTCCCGGTGCTTGTTTGCCCCATTCTTTGATAAAAAAAAGGTCTCAGCCCACAAGATTACTACAAGGTCCCATGGGAAAGCTCATATCCTACCCTAAGTCAGTTTTATCTGCGTGAAGCTTCCCAACGGTGGAAGTATTTTTAAAATTGGTTCAGTACTTTTGGAATTATTTACCTATTTAATCCAAACAATCAAATCTTTCTTCTTTATAATATTAGTCTAGATATAGATAAATTAGCATTTGCCAGCAATTTCGTTTGAATTAAAAATAATTTAGTAGATTATGTGTTCTTCCAGACTATGTTATGCATCTATGACTAATTTCAGTAAGATCCGTTGAGCCGTTCTAGAGCTCTTACTTAAAAACTTCCATCCATCTAAACATTCGCATTTATAATATTAGTTAGATTTAAGACATACCTATTCCGTTATAATTTTTTTTTACAGAAGCAACAACTAAAACCTATGTGGACGTTATTTTGTGTTCACAACGGCAGGACACCGTTCCTAGAACAATACCCTGAACCAGACTCTCCGACTACGTTGACACATCGTCCTACATGGAGAGTCTGTCTGAAGTCAGCAAGACATGTCACAGCCAGTGTCAAACCTCATTCAGGTGATGAATATGACTTCCTGATAGATACAGAACAGGGTCCTGTGAGAATGTTAGCTCCGGATTGGTGAGTTTACAAGTTTTCATTTAGTTTGTCATGTCCCAATGTTTGTTACAAATGAAAAGTCAACTTGTCGCTTGTGTGTTACTGATTGAGTAGAAATGTTTACATCAGCTCTAAGTCCCCACTTAGGGTAGAATCTACCCTAAGTGAGAGTATGTGATTGTGAATGCTGGTCCAGTGCAAGACTTCACACGTTTGACTTTCTCAGATATGTGCATCACGATGTTTTCCTTCATTCTAACAGTGGATAAATTCACATATGTAAATGTAACACATTGCTACATAGCGGGATTTGAACCCAGGAGCTGCAGATTGCAAGTCAACTGCCTAAACCCTAAGCCAGAAAGGCTTGAAATGTTAGATAAATTTGTAAATCACGTGACAATACAATATTATGATGACACAGAGCTGATCTGATGATGCAGCTGCAACCTGCTCATACCTACTTTGCAACACAACCTCATCCAGTTTGTGCTTGCATGTATCATCTTGTTTAGCAGTTTTTTTTTGTTTAGTTTTTGTAGTTTAAAGAATTGTTTTAATTTAATTTAATATTACATATGTACATTTATCGTATATTGTTACGGTGAAGCAAAATATCGTGATGCTGGACATATCTGAGATAATTAAAGATATGTGTGAAGTCATTCACTATCACATAGTTACACTTAGGGTAGACTCGGAGACCATCAGTGGGGATGTGTAGTGAGCTGATGATGGTGATTGTACTCATTTCAAGCCGGAAATATAAAAGATGATGCAAGAGTGATCCAATGGCTCGTAATATGCATAATTGTTTGTCTTCTCAGGGATTCAATGCAGGAATGGGTTACTACTCTTAGGAATAAATTGCATGAACTAAAAATTCTAAGTAAAGGGGAGAATGTGTACTGCGCAGCCCCCGTGGCACCAGCACCCCGAGCGGCGGCACGTGACCCCACTTCTCCCCTGCCGCCTACCCCACCAGTGCCACCTGATAGGTGAGTTGGTACATAACATTTGAGTTGGCTCATAAGATACTAGAGTACTTCTCTTCCTTATGTGCCAACTTTCGATATAATTTGTTGTGTCTTTGGCTCCTACGTAATATCTTACGAGTTTGACATTTGCTTGATGTTTTTTGTTCTTACTAATATTATAAATACTAATGTTTAGATGTATGGATGGATGTTTGTTTGAAGGTACATCCAAAATGGCTGAACACATAGGCTACTAAGTATGTTTTATCTTTTGATTCCTCGATGACGAAGTCGCTGGTGACAGCTAGATTAGATACATAGATAGATTAGAGAGATAGATATAGAACATGGTTTGGAAACATACATAAGCAATTTTTAAGGTTTTTTAATTCCACACGTTGGAATTCGTGGGCAATATTTAATAAATCAATTTTTTTCAATGCAATTTCAGAGTACCAGGTATAGAATTAACCACACAAACAACCCGACAATCAGAAACCAGTGAACCAATTGAATCAACAGAAACCCAAGCAATCCGAACACAATCGGAACCTCAACCTGATGATATATCACATTGGGATGTATTACCAAGTACAAGTCAAAGCGAACCAAAAAGTGTTACAAAAATCTGTGGACAAAATATATGTTTAGATGATTCTATATTAAAAAGAAATACAGAAGTCACTGACAGTGATGAAGAGTTTTTCCATGAAATAGACGGGATACATGAATCTATTGGAAATTTATTAATCGATGAAAATAAATATAAACAAAGAGTTGTTGTTACTAATGGTGATGAAACAAATAATGGAATAGAATCACAAAGGTAATTCCTTGAGACACTTTTAACACATCATATGGTGGGATTCTAACCGAGGATATAACAGTGGTAGAGCCCGCTTTAACAGCTTTGCAGGAATTGTCCTCGCTCAGTGAAATACAACGACCACACAGAAGACACGCCTCAAGTGCGAAGCTATTCCAACTACAGTCTGATGCGTATGGCTTATACCCAGCTGAGCGTCAGTGGCTCAGGAGTCAAGCACTTGACTTGCAATCTGTAGGTCCTGGGTTTGGATTGCGCCATGTACCAATGTGTCTTTCGATTTCCGATTTACATATGTACATTTATCCGACGTTCTTACGGTGAAGGAAAACATCTTGATGCTGCACATATCTGAGAAAGTCAAAGATATGTTTGAAGCCAACTCGCACTTGGCCAGCGTTGGCTATGGCCTAGTCACCCCTAACTTAGCGTAGGCTCCGAGCCCCTCAGTGGACGTAGTGAGCTGATGATGATGATTCCTAGTCATCATACTCAGAGTCCACCGAGAGTAATTTTTGAATGAATTACAGGGATGTTAATTTTTTTTTTCAGTGTCCCACAGAGAACAAATATAACTGTTATACAAGTGTCAAATAAAGGCCCTCCGCATACAGCTATACCAGTCTTAGGTCCGGAGACAGATGTCTTTGACTTCAATATACAACAAGTCACAGTGTCACCTGACACAGGTCAAAATGACCAGCATAGCTTTATTAATATAGTCAATACTGAAATTAACGTTCAAAATACAAATGACAATGACTATGGGACTATTTTCTCCAAAAACGACTCGGAATACGGACATCTAAGTTTGACAACAACTGTCAGTCTGACAGGCGAGGCTGTCAAAGTGACAGGCGACATTTACGAGAGGCTATGCATGGCGTCGACGTCCAGAGACAAACCGACATCGCCATTGCCGGTGAATAAAATAAAAAATATAGATAAAATCAGGAAATCATCTTTACCGAATTTGGAATTGGCCGCGGAATCGGCGTATGAATATTTATTTCCTAATTCTAGTCAGAATAATAATATTAGGAATACAACGAATGTAACAATGAATGAAACACAAACTACAAATGGAATTCGTTCAGAAATTAATTCCAATTCAAATGAGAGTCGAACGAATTTAGTGAATGTGATAACTCCGGTACAATCTGTTAGTAATTTGAGCTCTAATTCAAGGGCTTTAAGGACTAATGTTGAAAGATCTCACAGTCAGAACGCGTGTGATGGTGCTATAAGATTGAAAGAAAATTTATTAAGAAAAGTACATAATAATAGTCCGAAAAGAGAAGCTAAAAATGGTAAGCAAAATATTTGTTTTTTTTATTCGACTGACTCAATTCCCTCGGCGTCAATACGATGAAAAAATTGACCACTAATCGTCATCTGTCAAAAGTTTGATACGATAAAAATACATTAACAGCTAGAAGTCCTGGAGGCCTAATTTAGTCCTCTTTCCCTTCCTTTTTTCTTATAAGGAAAGGATGGGAAGTGGAAGTGGACTTTCCGGATGAGAGGATGCATGGGAAGGGAAAATATTTTCTTTCTGTGCATCCTCTCCTCCGTCGATTAAAGTTAGGCAACGTATATACAATTGCGTATGTCTATGGGCAACGGTCACTTCGCTATTTCTGCGATTTCAGGTGGCCGCTCGTTTGCCTAATCTTTAAAAATTGCTTATTTCTTTAATTATATTAAATGGAGTTTGGACAGAACAGTCTAAGATAATGACAGTGATGATTATATGTTTTACAAAGAGATTTTGGTGTCAGAAACTCACTTTAAATATCATTTTTCAACCTATTTTCTAGATAAAACTGAATCTCCCAAACCTATATGGAAGCGTGGTCTTACAGAGCTCTCATTATTGAGTCGACTGAGAGGTTTAGGTATAAACAAGAGACAGGAGAGTCCAACACGACAAGATGACTCCGGAGACAGGTACGAGCTCTATCATCTACCTTCAAGTCAAAGTCCCGACAAAATCTGTCCACACGTTCCCGAGATTATAAACAACAAACACAAACTTACAGACAGACAGACAAAAATATTTATTAATATGTAAAGATTACGATGTTTGTTATTCAACTTTTTATTTTTTTTTTGGTTTCTGTTCCACTCCTAAAGTTAAATACCCTATAATGTTTTTAAATAATTGAACTTTTAAATTTAGTAAAAATAGTCTAAATCAGTTTTGTAGTTTTTGAGTTTAAAGCAAACATACATTTTTTTTAACATATTCATCATCATCAGCTCACTATCCGTCCCCACTGAGGGGCTCGGAGCCTACCCTAAGTTAAGGGTGATTAGGCCATAGTCAACCACGCTGGCCAAGTGCGGGTTGACTTCACAGATATCTTTGACTTTCTCAGATATGTGCAGCATCACGATGTTTTCCTTCACCGTAACAACATACTATAAATGTACATATGTAAATCGGAAATGGAAAAACACATTGATACATGGTGGGATTCGAACCCAGGACCTTCAGATTGCAAGTCAAATGCTTGACCACTGAGCCACTGACGCTCTTTTAATATATTCAAAAGAAATTAATACGTATTTTACATTTTCTAAGGGTTGTGACATCTCCGGTCAAAGTAATCCATAGATCCAGACCTCAAGGAAGAATAGACAGCAGTAGGAGAAGAAGCAATTCACTAAGTAATGGTAAGTTTTTTTATTTAATCTCTTTTAGTAAAAGATTTTATAAATCATATTATGTAATATTATAAACTAGCTGTCGCCAGCGACTCCGTCCGCGTGGATATACAAAAACTAAAAATATTTTTTCTTAAAAATGAATAAATAGTATTCTATGTCCGTCTCCTGGCTCTAAGCTACCTCCTCAACAATTTTCAGGCATATCAGTAAAGCCGTTCTTGAGTTATAAATAGTGTAACTAACACCACTTTCTTTTATATATATAGAAGATGCGAATGTTTAGATGGATGTTTGTTAGAAGGCATCTCTTAAAGCTGTATGGATTTCAATGAAATCTTACTAATATTATAAATGCGAGTGTTTGGATGGATGGATGGATGTTCGATCTCGGCTGAATAGATCTTGATGAAATTTGTCATACATATAGAACATATAAGACGGAGTCGCGGGCGACAGCTAGTTTGTCATAGATTTACACATAGACTACTTATTAAGTTTTTGTTTTAATTCAGGCAGTTTTATAGTTTATTACGACCTTCAATATAAAATTAGAATTGCTTGGTTCTTTAGGACAGTCGCCCCCAAACCCAGTGACTGCGACAGGTATGATGGCGCCGCTGCGCGCTCGGCAAGCGGCCGCACTGCGCGCCGAGCAGCGCCGGGGGGCGGCTGTAGCTACATCATTGTCAATCAGAGACCCACCAATATTTGTGGAATATGAACGACATGTTTGGTGAGTAACAATACCGACCCCCCCCCCCCATCCCCAAACAACTTTTTGATGGAAACAGTAATTTTTGTTGCTAATATCGTATTCAAATTAAAACCCTAAATGATAGATAAATTTGAATTTGTGCTAAAACTCGTTAATTACGAAATATTTCTGGTAAAAATCATTTTTTTAATATAAGTTTAAAATATTTTCTACGATTATTTTACGATAATTAAATCTATGATATAATTTTTTTTTGTTTAAATCAAATATTAATAGAATTTTTGTAAATTTACTAATATTTATTTTACCATTCCAACTAAGCTGTAGACTTGTGCTAGGATATGGTTTACGACAATAGTCGAATGGCGGGATTCGAACCCACGACCTCGTGATCGGAAATCCGTACCCTTAACTATTAGATTATTGACGCTTCTTCGCTCTTTCGCTTAGAAAGTCAAATAATGGTCGCCATGTAAGCAAAGCCGGCGTTAGGATGAATTTGGGTGATCGCCCAGAGCACTGGACTTTCGGCCCCACAGAACTGATTTCAAAGTAACACATAACCTTTTCTAAGGGGGGGATTCCTCTACCCAAAAAAGGGGGCGTCGTATGTCGCCCAAGGCGTTAGTAAGACTCAAAAGTGTTTCTGTATACAGGATAGCACGATGGGGTGTGAACGGTGCTCGGTGTGGAGGTCGCGCTGGTGACCGGGTGGGTGCGCTGGCGGGAGCTCAGCCCACCAGCGCCGCCCACGCCCGCACGCTGCTCAAGACTGCGCACACACCACTTGTAAGTATTGGTCTACTGACCTTTGGACTACGGGTCTACTGATCTACTGACCTTTGGTCTACTGACCCATTAGTCTGCTAACGCATTAATACAGTGGTCCATTGGTTTACTTCTCTATTGGTCTTCTGGTATATTAACACATTGATCTACTGGTCCAATGGTCTACTGGTGTACTGACCAATATGACTGTCTAGTTTGCCCACTGATCTACTAGCCAATTACAGTAGCAGACCATTAGACTACTGGTTCATTGGTGTATCGGTCTACAGATCTACTGACCCATTGGTCTACTGGATGGTCTACCGCACAATTAAAATACCAGTCCATTGGTCTGCTAGACTATTGGTCTCCTAATCTATTTTTCATTTGATTAGTAATCCAGTTAACCATTGAACTATTGGTCTACTGGTCTACTAGTCTGCTGGTCTACTGGACCATTCTATTTGAGCTAATGACATCACGATGTATTTTAAAAATAATTATCACATCTTACAGGTAGACATATTATTCCATCGCGTGCCTCTCGGTAAAATATACGTGATAAGTAAACGAGATAGAGAAAATATAGGTAAGTTAACAATATTTATATTTAACTAATAAACTCAAAAACTACTGAACAGTTTTATAATATTAGTAAGATTATAAAACGATTTAATTACTTTTAGGTATAAAATTAGACAGTGAATGTGTTATATCATCAGTTGTGGGAGGATCTTGTGCTA